GAATTAAGTGTCCACAAATACAAAACTGGGTCCTCAGACTGAAGACAGACTCAAGGGACGGAAAGGCTGTAGCCCCAGGACATGAACCCAAGTCATTGCTCCTCTCCACCTTCCTCCCCACTGATCCCAGGGAATGTTTTATTTTGAAACTCTCAGGCCTGTCTTGTCCCTTTAGATGGCTTTGCCCACAAGACTGAGGGAGAGAGACCTCGGTGGTTCTAGAGCTCTGTTGCACAGATGCTCCACATTGTTCGGGTGTTGCTGATGGAGCAGGTTAGATGAGGAGGATGCCTTTATCTCAGGATAAAAACATCAAAGCCATGATGCACCTGGGGGCTACAGCCCAGCCTCTCGAGTCTCCCCAGCCGAGCTTTTTTGGGTGGTATGTTTCCTTCCACCTTGTCAAGTAACACCAAATACTGAAAAGCTGGAAACACTAACTTCACCCGGTTTACTTCACTGCCACCTCTCAAGTCTGTGATTTCTGTGAGAATCTGAGCAATTAACCAAAAAAGGAGGATATATTTTGCCTGAAGATAATAAATTTAGAGGATCATGTGGCTTTCACATAACAAGTGGAATGATCTATGGTACTATATGTTAGCTAGAAAAATATAGGACTTCCAAATTTATCATCCTTTTTGTTGTTACCCATTTACCAGGCAATATAAATAACAATGATACAACCACAGATCAAGTAATGTCGTAAGTTATGTCCCCACCAAGTCCACAAGGAGTTTCACAAATAATTATGAAACTGCCAGGAATTGTGCAATGATTGGGAACATGTTAATTATAAAAATACTATGTATTTACATAGCACATTTAAAGTAATTTAAACATTTGGATTAAAAGATTTAAGTATTATTCCCATTGTATAGATGAGGAAATTAAGGCACAAAGGCAAAAAAACCCTGCTCAGCACAGCTCTGAGTCAGAAGACATGCTACCTTCTGGGAAACCAAAGAGTTCTCATTTTGGAGAAGTTGAGGAGATTGAGGAGAAACTAATAAAAATGAGACAGATGGGGCCTTGTGGTCATTTTACAAAAGATATCCTCTGGAGTATATATCACACACTGAAAATCAGACTCAAAGCAAGACCATCTTAAAAGAATCTGCTGTAACAATTTTAGTACACAAAGCGCATTATTTTTTTCTTGCTTAGCCTCCAGTATCCTTAGCTTTTACAACACATACACTTCTTTTCCTTCCATTTGAAAGGCTGAAAACTGACATGAGAAATGTCTTGCTTTACAGAAAAAAATGAGTCTTCAATGAAGGATGATAAGAGCTAAAAATCATAAAAACAGTAGCCAGAGCATAAATATTTAATATAAATCTTTATGGTTCTATATACTAGAAATAATTGCAGAAGAAACACAAATTTGTGGAACATGAGTTCTCTTCCAATTGTATTTTACAAGATTCAGCCTATCAGTACAATGACATTTTTGCAAGTATCAAAAAAATAAAGCAAAACAGTATTACATTACACGGTCAAGACAACCAAAATAGTGATGTGCTTCACAAAATCTATACAAGTTAATCCTTAGCAGACCATCCTTGCTTGCTTCCAAACAAAAGCACTTGCTGCCAATGCTTTGGAGTTGTTTTTAATTTTTTTTTTTTTTTTTTTTTTACAAAATTATGACTACTAGCTAAGAAAAATGATGCACCTATGCTACTTCTCACCAGCCATTTATCAACTTGTTTAGGATTTAAGTATCAAGAACCTAAGACGCAAATCTGAAATGACGTGGGTTTGGTGTAATCAAATCTTTGAGAGCAATCCTTTAGCGTCCTCAAGATGCACAGTGACACTGTTCTCCAGCTGACTGAATTTAATGCAAAAATTACTTTTTCCAGAAAAACTGTCTTCCCGTGAACCTTCACTTAGCTTCCACTCCACAGCAGCTTTAATGGATCTAAGCCCTGGAGCCCTCGTTGCCGCAGTTGCTTCCTGTGTCGCGCCCAGGTCAGTTCTCGGCTGGGTCAGCTCCCGGCACAGGCTCACCACGGCTGCAGGGGCACCAGCGCTGGCAGCAGGAAGCGGGTAGCAAATGCGACCCAGGGAGGGAAGGAAAAGGAGAGAAAGCCTCCAGCATTCGGTCAGCCCAGGCTGCTGGGCAGCTCTGCTGCAATTCCAGGTTTTCCTGTCAATCTTCACATGCCAACTTTGTACTATTCACAGAATGGATTTTAAAATCCCTTTTAACTCCAATCCTCAAAACAATCTTTTTGCCTTTGATACGGACGAAAGACCCAGGATGGATTACTTCTCCCAGAAAGAGGCATTTGTCTTCTAAAAACAAAGACATTTACCTCACTCTCTCACGAACAATTGCCTGTGCGCTGCGGTCTGACGCTCACCACGTTGCTTGTGTGACTACGATTGCTTTATTTCTTCTTGTATTGGTCTTTGATCATGAGTTTATAGGAGTCTAATGGCATGAAACATGGAATCGGCATGACTGCAGATCAAAGGTACCATCTGTCGTCTTTGCCACGCAGATCCATGGAAGCCCTTTCGCCGGGAAAGCACTGCCTATTGGACTTAATGCTCTACTTACAGTGGAAGACATTATTTTAATAGAAGAGTAATTGGTTTCTCTTGGCACCTGTTGGAACAAACTTGTCCAGCTGAGCTGGTATCATACACCAGTAGGTATTGTCAACTTTTTAAACTGACAATAGGTTGTGAATGTTCACTTTCTGACCTTGACTTCTTGAATGCTATTAAGTTATAATTTGGCTATCTGTACTAGATTCAACTATGCAAGCATTAATTTTACATTGTAATTTTAGCTTTGCAAAGGTGTGCTCTCCATGTCCCTCAAATGGAACGTAACGGGAGCACTGCAGCGAGGGGATGGAAGAAGGCACGGTTAACTGTTCTAATTCCCCACACTTAGGTGTACTCAGTGCTACTCCGGTCCTCGCTCAAAAGCAAGAATGACAGCCAGGGTCACACGGCTGGTGCAGTAGCCTCAATTCCCTGGGATACAGGCATCTTCTCACGGGCAGGGGCTTGCCTTAGTTCTCATGTAAATTGTGAAGTTGTGAATTCGTAATCTGCTTTAATATACGAGCGATACATGGTTGATTCAGTTTGGTTTAGGCAAGAATAATAAAGGGCATGATTTGCAATGCAATGCTATAAGGAAGCCAGAACCAGAAGGAAAAACAAAGGAATGTGGGTATTTACTCACTGAAGTCACAATATTTTTGTGTTTCTGGACAGCTTTCCTTATAGCTCTACTGTTAAAGTTGGTTTCAGACTGTGGGCCCCCATTACTATTCTACAGGTGGCAGATGGGTTCATGAGATTTCCACCCACTCCACCTTCTCATCCACTCCTTCCTGGTCGCTCTCCCCATCAGGGCCCGGTGCTTTCTCAGCTGCACCAATCCAACCATCGGTACGACCGCCCTCAAACTCAGATGCCGGAAAGAACTGCGTTTGGGGAGGGGGGCCAAGCTGCTACCAAAAGGACACTTGGCTTCTCGCAGCGAGCGAGAACAAACCCTCCCAACAGCTCTGCTGCCAACAGCAGGCTGGCCCGGCACCACTCCCACCAACGCTGGGTTCAGCTCTCCTTCACAGCACTCACATAATGCGCCATCAAAAATAATCAGGTAAGCGCTTTGTTTAAAGAAGATATATCTCCTCGGTGTGCCTTTGGTTGATACCGCTCTTGTTCTGGGAGATTTTTAATCAGGTCTTGAAACATTCAGGCTTTCCAATACATTTCAAAAGTAATGAAAAAATGCTTCACATAGATGGAAGGTGAAATGAATCAAAGGTGGAAAGGAAGCCAGTAATACCAAGGTGAATGCTATTCTAGCTATATTGCAACTTACAGAAAAAAAAAAAAGATTGAACGTGAATTGCCAAAATAACTATGAAAGATGGTATTTTGCTGTCACAGCCAAGAATGCTCAAACCTAGAACAGAATACGTATGGACATGTAAAATTAACACATGATTACCACAATCAAGCAAAAGACAACAAATGAAGTCATTAAGAACTTTGGAAATAGGATGCTGTGTTTTCTAAAAATACACAAAATTGGAATAAATGATACAGTTACAAGCTTAACTGCTTAAGTTGCACAATTCTACATTCAAGACTCGAGTAATGCACGTAGTTGAGATTCCCCCAGTTATCAGTGTCAATTTTGGTGTGCAATCTTTCAATTTTAGCCAGACTCATGTCAGAGAAACAGTTAAGTCTCACCCTCCAGACTAGTAAGATGAAAATAAAACCTGATGGATTATCACTTTGCTTCATGCAAAGACTGTTTATGCAAGAAGTGTTTGACATTTTTAAGAACTTATATTTTGAAGAAGGTAGACTCATTCTGCAAAGAAAGTTCAGAATGATAAATACCAGACTTGCAGCACATTAAAATATTAATATTTAATATGTTTACTAAGCAGTCTCTGTTATTTTTGTTGCGCATCTACGTAGAACTAAATCCCTCAATTTACATTTTGATTTCCCTCACTGATCTGATCATCACAACACAGATACAGCTGTAAAGTGCAATGTATGCTTTGGTTTCCTTAACTAAAGAAAGCACTTTTAGAATGGTTTTAGCTAAAGATAGGACCCACGTGTTTAAGGACATTATTTGAACAGATGATCATCTTTTTTTACAGTCAGAGAAAAGCGATGAACTACTTAAAAATCGTTTCATTCTGGTAGACCAGTGAATTCTGAAGCAGTTCTATTATGTCAATTACTTGGAGAAATTTGGAAGAATTCCACATTTCAGGAAAGGATTCACTGTTAAACTAATTAAAAATCGCAGATTTAGGTTTACATTTTAACGAACAACTTAAAAATAGTTGGCAAACCATGTAGCAATTCAAATACAAGCTGACCATTTTCAAAATCTATAAATATTTCCAGAACCATCTTATCGACATAAAAACAGGAAGGAGCGGGGATGGTTACAGGGTTCACACGTCTGCGCAAAAGCATATATAAAGGTAATGTTATGTACATTTTATTTCAATAAAGACATAAGACAAACAGCGTAAAGATGCCCAGATGCCCTAAAGATAAATACATTTAAAAGATTCTCATTAAAATGAATCTGTAGTATTTCTTTCCTGCAAGCAAAATACCTTTCTTTAAATACAAAAAAAATCAGTATTCTGAATTGCAAATGTTTTCACTTTTTTGCAGAAAATCTGCTATGATGATTTTTTTTTTAATGAATAAGGATTTTCCACAAAACAGGCTTGCTCTACATGCTAATTTTTTTAAACAGTTCAGTGACACAATGTGCTAGCTACATACACAACAGATAATATAGTAAGAAAACACTCAACCTGATGAAAAGTTAAAATCTTCATTAATACACTGGAAAAAGTTGACATAACTCATGCCTTTTAAAATCAAAAATACAAAAATTAAATGTTTTCCTAAAAAGATTTTCCTTATTTTAAGGACTCATTTGAAAATGAAGCTGCATGTAATTTGTACAATAAAATTGTACAAGTAAACAGGTAATATACATAAAAAATTAATTGACATACTTCTCAATTATCAGTTGTCCACCTTTAATTTCCAATACTGTACTTTCTTAACAAGCATACAAAATATCAAACTTCTCTTTAGAAAAAGTGCCGTTCTGTGACATCTTTTACACAAAAACAGTCTGAGCCTATGGCGTGTTAATGCAGTCGAGAGGCAAAGCATCCTAACTTTTACAAATTAAACCTTCCATAAAAAGCCTCCTGAAAAGGAGATTACACACCATTATAAAAATATCAACCTCTTGTAGTAGCTGCATTAGAGAACCAAGGCTGAAAGACTATTTCCATATAGCATAGAAAACCACTATGATAGCAGACTGACTGCGTCGGTGGTGCGGGAGTGTACTGTACCACAGGATTATGCATAGTTACTGCCAGGCACCTTCCCTGTCACACAGAGTTTAAAACTGATTGTAATGACGAGTGTCACAGAGGTACCATCAGCCCATGCAAAACATCTTAAAATACTGAGCCACTGTGCAGAACACTTCAATCTTGGAGGAAACAGAAGGCAGCAGTAATTGAATTGCATCAAACCTAGCAGGTGACCAAACTAGTTCCCCTTTCAAGATCTGCATGCACAGCATAGTCTGAGGTATTCCTTGTCCATCAGTTGTTTGTGCCACTGCAAGATATTGTCTGTCCAGAGTACATGCCATCACAATGGTTTAAAATATTCTGAATATTAGTAATTCTTATATTCTTCTTATCTAGCCAGTCTCTTGATTTTTGAAAAGATTTCAACTACAGTAGAGTATTACAGAAAGAAAATATAAATGCAGGGTTTTTCTTTCTAAATGAAACTTACGTGGACTAAAACTAGAGAATATTTTTTAAACAAATATACAGTATGCAGGCAGACGAAGCAGGAAAACGGCCATCCAACTGTTTAATAAAAAACTAAGAAAATTTGGCTATTTCCAGAAAAAACTATGAAGCGCCTCAACTAAAAGGAATGCATAATGAAATTCTAATCTAATACAGGTCAAAAATGTAAAAAGGTTATAAACCTTAACAGGAAAAATAAAACAACTTTTACTGGCCATTCCTGTTGAAATGAGAATCTTAAAAGTAACAGAAAAGTGGCTACAAACCCACTTAGAGCACCGAACAGAGAGAAAATAAGAGTCCATTTTCAATCTCTGTTATATCATAAAATCCTGTGTTTCTACAGGTCAAACTGCTGGTGGCAGAAACAGAATTCTTTATAAACTGCAGATGTCCTGTACATAAAAAAATTTCATTGGAGTTGCACTAGTTCTAAAGACTTTTCTGTTCTAGCCTACCTACTGTGTTGTACTGTATTGTACTGAATGTATTCAATCTCAGATATATAAAGTCTCTTTCTGTAACCCTTGATTATTGTTGGGCACCAAAGATAAGAAAAGCAAGACGGGGTACAAAAATGCAAAATTTCAACAGTAATGGCAATGTTTTGTTTTAGTCCAAAAGGGTCCTGCATTTTCTCCCCCTTCAGTAACTAGGCAAAAGGCTTTAATCTGGGGGTAGCAAGTCATGCAAGCGAAATCTGTCTCTGATGTGAGGTCGGACATCTTCGTTCTGTAGGGGATGGAAAAGAAGGGGTGCAGGTTTTAGGAGAATGAACACGTCTATAAATCAGATCTTAACAGGGTCAATTTTTTAACACCGGTATTTTAATATGACAAAATATAAGCCATGAATATATGTAATTACAAAAGACTTATAGAAATAACTACATAACATTCACAACAATTTAGGAGTACTTTATTTGCATTTTAAGAATAAAGGCACACACCACAGCCAACAATAGGCACTATTTGATCTAAATGCCTACAGATTCTCAATTTCATTATAAGTGATGTTACAATGCTCCATTCCTTGATTAAAAGCACAGATAGTAATAATGACATTCTGTCTTTTATTATGTAAATAAGTCGTTACGTATACTTGAATTACTGCCCAGAGCATCCATTTCAAAAAAAGAGACATACATGACTTTTAGCAGTCTAAATTTCAGTGACTCACAAGATCTTAAAATATGTCAAAATACTTGAAAGAGCTAACTAACATTTTTGGGCAAAAGGTGGGGAAGAGCCAAATAAAGGAAACACTTACCAGCTCTACAAGTTTCTCCAGAAATGGAATCAATTTTAGGAGTTCATTGTCATTTTTATCCATGAACCAGCTTTCTATAGGAATTCCATTTGAAAGCTAAAGTAAAAAAAAAAAAAAAAAAAAAAAAAAAACCAAAAAATACAACACATGATTTATATTTAACTTATCTAAAAATATGACTTGTGAAATAGCATTTTGGGGAAAACTGTTTCCAGGCTAGAGTTAATTAGTACATATCTTTCCTCTGAAGTTTCTATTAAAATTCACTTCCAACATACCTCCTTCCTTTGCACACATCACTACAAATATTGCCACGTCAAAGCTGAAACAGAATTTGCTCTAAAAGTTCTGCTGAACTGAAAAGCGCTGGTAGTTTGAGGAAGTCGTCTGTTAAAGCACACAGGGATACTAGATGTGTACTGGCACAGTCTGCATACAGCCAATGAGGCTACGTCAAACAGGTTTTTGGTTTTTTGCTACTTTACTGTAGGTGGGACGTTAGAGATCACACTCTGCACTGCTTTATGTTATAGGACGAACTGGAATAGTAACATACCACACTTCTGGGAAAATCTAAATTGCAGGGTATAATTTCATACCATTTAAGCATAAGCACGTTTCACAGCCATGTGTCATTTCAACCAGCAATTTGTTCTTAATGATTTCACTAGCGTTAAAAAACTAAATCCACAACAGAGTCCAAGTAACAGACTTAGCAGACTGGTGGCTTCTTTAGAAAAGCTGAATGAGAAATAAAACTGACTGGTTATATAGTCAGTTCATATAAGAAGGCTCTTAGGTTGCACTTGATCAGCTCTTCACAAAAGAAAGAGAAAAGCAAGCAAACCCGAGTGATTTGTTACAATTTGTTTTGTAAACTTAAATACAAATTTAAGCACAAAACTTAAATAAATCAAAATGTATCACTGTCTTCCTTCAGAAAAATTTTTGCCATATCTGAAAAGTTTGCTGACAGCAGCATACTTACCTGATAAGCAAAGGCTTGCGGTGAATTGTCAATTATGATAGTTTTTGAAAGATCTCTACCAAGAATGTTTAAATCCTTTATGTAATTTCCTTGTACACAAACACAATGCTCACGGAAAAGTCGATGCCTGTGATTAAAGTAAAATACTAATTAATGAGACAAATTACATCATATACATTGCATAGGGGAAAAGAAGAGTTGACTTTGCCGAATGCTGTCCAATTTTTTTCTCTTCCAATCTACTTAGCTGCTTTTAAAGAATTGTTCCCTTTTTTCCATTCTCTTGTGAGTTTTTTACTGGTAAAAATACCTAGTTCTGCAGGCGCTTGTTTGTATTTAAAGCTCAACTCAGATGCAACAAGTATTTGTCAGCAGGGTCTTGCTTTCTAACCATTTTTGCAGCTAGACTGACAAAGGGACCCCAAATTCTCAAATGATTTTGCAAGGCCCCAAAATCAGAGATTAGTTCTGCACAGGAACCAATTTACTGGGTTTTATTACCCCTTTATTTTGTTCCAACTGTTACAGCACACGGCCTCCCTATGCCACTGCATGCTTGAACACAAAGTATCAGAAGAAATGTTTTCCTTTTTATGTTACCTCTGTTTGCAATTAACTTATTTCAGTTATTAGAGCTTGAAAAAAGCCTTGAGGCCAAAACATTCCATCAACTTCTTCCTTTCCAATTAGTCTACTCCCTTGTAATTTATTACAGTAGAAATACATAGTAAATGGATGAATAGACTAAAAGGAGTCAGATTAAAAAAATACCAGGAATAAAACTGCAATTTCATGGAATATCAGTGTAATTATAATTTAAAAATAAATTGTAAACTAGACAGATTTTGAGTTTTACACAGTCGTATTACAGTGCAGTTTCTTTAAGGCTGCTTATGTTTTTTAATGAAGTTTTTCAGAAGCTGTACATAGTGTGCTTAATTTCATAAGGGGGTTGAGTTCCTAATGTTGCTATGGAGGAAAATAAGCCGATGCCTCGGCAGCAAATGAATTTATATATAGATTCTGAGTCACACGTGTGGAGTGCCTGACAAGTCTACCTTTAGGCTAATGTCAAAACTAATCATGCCTTGATGTCAGCTTTTCAGTGGCACACGAATCACAACTAAATTCATGCATCACATGAATCTTTCTGCAAATTCTCAGAATATCGCTTGGCTGTATATTGTATCATCTTTTTCCTGTTCCCAATGCAGCTAGAACTGCAGTCCTGAATCATATGTATTAGGTTCCTGGAGAAAGATTTTTAACACTACGGATGCATGCTTAGACTCATTTTCTGTAAGTGCAAATACCTTACTTGTGCAAATATCTTACTTGTTCATCAATCGTGTTTGGCTGGGATTCAGCTAGGCTCAGACATTCCACCGATTCAAAGTCTTTGAAACCTAGTTCTGTTTGCTCGTTCAAAGCGCAGCAGCAAGTAAGTTTACCAAAACCAAACTGGGATTCTGTTGTGCTTGCCACATAAAAACAAGCAATAAGATGACTGTTCCTGGATTAAAACTAGTGAACAGTTCACCTTCATGCTCTTAAGGAGAATGAGTTACGATGTGCCTAAACTATCAAGTGAAAACAATGGATGCCACCGCTGTCTTAGTCCAAATGGTGATTTTATTATGCATGTAAACAAAACCAGATTTTCACTGAAGAATATTACAATAAAATGATGCGGTGAAGTGCTTTGCCAACGATGGCCCAGGTACAGAATTTATGCAGTTCTGACTATGATCCAGTAGAGTTGTTCCCTTACTTGGGTTACCCTATGTGGGGTGAATCCCTGAGAAGAATCCCTCTTTGGTTTCAACTTTCTCACATAACAGTCCACCTTCCAGATGAGAATAAGAGAGGGGATCTCATCCGGCAGAATTTCTTTATGCCTTAAGGAACTGTTTTTGAGAAATGCCAATCGCTTCCAAACAAAGCTCAGTATTAAGAAAAGAAATGAAAACCCAAAACAACTCTAATACAAAACCCACAAACAAATCATTTTGTGATTGAAAAAGAAATAAAAACATGCCGATTGTAAAGATATCCATACATTTCATAATTTATAAATAATACATCATGTTTGAATAGTTTAAAAGTAATTTAATACCCAGTTCATTTTCTTTATTCGTAATGTGTATGCCAAAGCAGCTCATACACACTTCTGATACCCAAGAGGTCATTTTCCATGAGCAAGCCCAACATGCTACCGAGAAGGAATGGGTACATCCTTTGGCCACAGGGCAATGTAAAGCCACCTGGGTTTATATTATCACCAAGGCAATTATCAATCCCTTCATTCTGTTTTTCTCTCACTCTTAGACCAGACAAAAATCACAAAGAATCAGTTTAGTGAGACACATAACAAACATGTCATAATCACTTTCTTTGTCACATTTATTAGGAAATAGTAGTTAGTTTGCCAACAACATGTACGTTCACCATTTATTTTTACCTGACCAGTTGCTTTTTAGGGTCTAGTATGTTCAATAGCTTGTCTGCATACACCTTCTTAGAAGCAGTAAAAAGAATGATCTATGGATTAAAGAGGAAAAAGTAATTATTTTAGATACAAGTATGTGACTATAATTTAAAAACTAAATTCAAAGGTAATATCTAATTGTTTTTACCTCATAAATCTGAGACATACGTTCCAGGAATTCTCGGAAGAATGGCCTTAACCGGACATAAACCTGAAGCAGAGATGGACTTTATTAAAGATTCAAAATACTTCAGCTATCACCTGCACTACTAAGTATCAGTTTGTAAAGACTGTTCATAATGCTCATTTTGACCTAAAGTAAACAGCAAACATTAACTTCCTACAGAATAGCAACTCCATTAAAACAATATTAAATTAGCTTGCAGCCTAAGCAGCTATAAGTGAAAGATGATAAAATTACGCTTAACAATTTTACTGGAAAACTTGATGGAATTAGAAGTAATTTCAATTAAAGTATAAAAGTTGGACAATCTCTAAAGAAAAAATGAAACTGGTTGCTTTGACTAAGCATTTTGAATCGGCTTTCACCAGCTGGGCAGCATCGGTTCAATGACTAGACACTGTGTGCCAGCAGACACACGAAATAATCTTAATAACCTTCTTCCACTAAGAATTACACATTGAATATGGAGGTGTCAGAAGTGATTTAAAAAAGAAAAAAAAAAAAAAAAGGCTTCAGCCGTTTCCAAATTTCCATAAATTCAAATTCCACCGGCACAGAACTGCATGCATAAATTAGTCCCTGTAAAAAATTGTAGACTCGTGAGAAGAGGTGCCAAGTTAGGAGACTTCTAGATATCTCCCTGATTTAACTCAAAATACAAGTCTTGGGCTCACATGAAGGCATCTACATACACCTGTAGCTTCCGAGCAATGGCCAAACACCACGGCAGATGTGAGGGCACATATCAAGCACTATTCTGTTCCTCTGGTACAACATTCAAATTTGTATTTGAATGGTGGCCCGGTGTGGTGTTTGGCGCAGATCTGGACCTGACCGAAACCAACAGTGATGACACATCCTAAGCGGTGAAAACGACAGCCTTATGCTCCGCTTACCTTTCTTTTTGGTTCAGAGATTGCCCACGTACAGAACATATGGTTTTGAGGAAACGGTTACTAAAATATCCAGAAAGAAAAGTACTGAACTTGTTTTCATTTCAACCAAGGTAATTTCAGCTTTATAAATTTTTTAACAGCCAGTTAGGAATAGGCTTAAATTTACCTTCAAATAACAGTAAACCTTCACAAAGCATTTGTATTACTTGAACTGAATTGTATCAAATTTATATGCGGACACAACCAAGTGACCAGAGGGGAAGAAAAGGGGAATAGTTTAAGTGAATACAAAATTTCATACTGTTAGCACATGCTGCAATAGATCTCAGTCCTTTAAGGGAAGCGGACATTTCTAAACCAACGTGAATTTCATTATTTAGGTTAAAATTTGGTAAGGCTTTTATGTGTTTCTTTCTTAAAAGCGGCTAAAGTTCTGATTTAAGTTTGCAGAGTGACCAGTTACTACAGTAACACTTAAGTTTTCATCCTTTTTCTACACTAGGAGCAATCATCAAAAGCAGACAATCTTACCGCGCCTGGTAACAGGACCTCTACTTCTAGCACGTGGAGACACATCCACTGACTATGCAGACAATGTCTGCTTCCCTCCCCATGCTGGCCAACCCGCATCTGGAGGCAGCACAAAAGTATTCCTCAAATCGGCTATCAAGAACAGTTTGGAGAGACCACAGCCCGTGCCTGACAGGCTTCTGGGCTGCATTTAGCCAAGATAACTACTGAAAAGCCAACTAAGTACAGAGCTGACAAGCATGTCTTCACACCGCGTCAACTGACGGCACCAAAATGATGCCTCATCTTGCCATGATAACGTAGTGAAGTTTTGCTCAAAAACTAGATGACATGTTTACCTTACGACGAGAACCATCGCAACGAATTAACTCAAGAGTCTCCCGGTGACCAGACGCTAAACAACATTCAAGTTGTCTGTGACTGTAAATTCAGTGTCAATTGTTTGCTCTGAACATTTGCTCTGTATCTAGCAAGCCTATAATGCAGCCAGCAACCTCCCTAGTCGTAACCCAGAGTTTAAGGGAAGGTGAGTTTTTCTTTGCAAATGCCAAAAGGATTATTCTGTTTGTGTCATTTTTCCTGAGTAAATATTTACTTTATTGTGACATAATCTTTCTCTTCAAAACTAAAAAGTAATTCACAAGAAAGGATATTAATGTTTTCACTGCACATAACAGTTGCTAATAAGGCTAGGTAAAGAGGATGATATTTGTTTCTAAGGTTTCTTCAAGAGCTTGATTTCAAATCAACAAGCCTATTCTCTGTTACACAGAAACACAGATGTGATTTCAGAAACAGTGTCTTCAACATCTCTTCTACAAACTCCCCTGGCAACCAAAGCAGTAAGCTAAGGTATCTGTTGATATTTCAGCTGCCACTAATATAAATAAAAACATTTTTAATGTAATTGATTGTTCCTTTTAAATCTGGATTGAACTATATTGGTCACAATGGCCAGTTAAAGGAATTTTAAAAATCATTCAATTAGATCAGGCAACAGTCATGACTGCTTGGGTTCCTCACGTGTGCACAGTCTTTCTATTTTATTTTTCAGTTTGTTTAGCCTGTGGATAATTGCAGCATCTTTGCAATGTGTTCTAGCTTAGATTACTGCCACACAGTTGTAAGTGTATCTTAATATCAAGCATTCTCTAAAAAGTTTACATGTGAATGCAAACAAGAAATCCAGGGAAAATAATTTCTTCGTAGAGTAAGTATTTCTAATCACAGCTTATACACACACATATTATTTAACAATGACATCAATGGCAGATTCACTGGTCTGTTCTTACTGGTTTGTGACACTCTGGCACAACGTAAGGCAACCACATCACTACACCCAGCTGCAACGAGCTGAGGCAGAACCAAAGCAGAAGAATTAAGTAATCAAAGTAGAACAGAACACACCCATCACTCAATGAGTAGATCTAACATGAAAGATAATTTTAAAAAATATAGATAGAAGTTTACTAATAATTTTCACCATTTTTAATGACTGAAAGTTTGTCAACAGAGTTAGATGATATAATCTACTTCGAAGTGACTTGTACTCATGAATGCACAATATATATGAAAAGCCCTCTCAAAGTTATTTGGCAGTTTTTTGTTTTGTTTGTTAGGGGTTTTTTTCCCCCAGAATGATCATCACACCCTATTATTTCAATGGCAGCAAAATCTAAATGTGCAAAATCTAAATTGTCATTGTCTGTGTTGTTCAAAACACACAGGACTTTAATTCTTCAAAGGAGGAATTGGAAGGAAATATTATTCCTTTCATGCATTGAAAAACCCCAACAAAAGTCACGTGTTCCACTAGGTGTCAAAATCTCTGAAATAACAATAATGAATTTCAATATACCTGTAACTTATCTCTATACCTGATGATTCTACCATCATTTTACGAGGTGAAAACCAGAGACAGGTTAGTTAACTTGCCCATGTGAAGCCGCACTTACCCACTGCCCTTTCAAGATGAGCACTCCACAGCACGGCAAGACCCCCTGCCCGGCCCAGCTGCATCCACGTACCCCACCTGACCTTGGGGCATGCCAGACACCAGCACCAGGCTAACCTAACTGCTCCTTGTCTTCCCTGAAATGGCCTCGACACAGTCTGCTGCCAGGACAGATGGCACGTGCTGGCAGCCTTAGTTCAGACTGCACAAGTGCCTTGGCTCTGGCTGAGATGGAGTTAATTTTCCTCATAGCAGCCCTCCTCGTGCTGGGCTTTGCATCGGTAGCTAGAACGGTGTTGATAACACGCCGGTGTTTTGGCTGCTGCTGAGCAGTGCTGGCACAGCATCAAGGCCATCTCTCCAACATTCCCCCCTCACCAAGGCTGGGGCTGGGCAAGATCCTGGCAGGGGGCACAGCCAGGAGAGCCGACCCAAACTGACCAAGGGGATATTCCATACCATACGACATCAGCTCAGCATTAAGAGCTCAGAGAAAGGAGGAGGAAGGAGGGGACATTAGTTATTTACGACGTTTGTTTTCTGGAGCAACCGCTAGGCACACTGAAGTCCTGCTTTCCCGGGAAGTAGCTGGACATCGCCTGCTGCTGCGAAGTAGAGAATAATCTTTTGTTTTCCTTTGCTTCCGCGCATGGCCTTTGCTTTATTAAACTGCCTTTATCTTGACCCATGAGGGGTTTTTTGGGGGGTGGTTCCCCCACCCTCCCAACCCCCCCATCTTATTTTCTCCTGTTCCGTCTTGCTGAGGAGGGGAGTGATAGGCTTGGCGGCACCTGGTGTCCACCCAAGGTCAACCCACCACAAGACGACACACAGAGCGCACAGAGCTGGGTCTTGCTCTAGGCCTGGCAGCAGGCTGGACTTGCCAGGTGAACAAGTCTGACTCATTTCTGACTGGACCACATCTTAAGTGACTCAAGACAAAGACCATCTCATAACCAGACAGAATTGCCCGAAGTGCAATTCTAGAGGTCCTACTGAACTAAAATTAAGTCTTCCCAACCTAAGACCAGATTTCTTTGTGGATGCTGCCCAAGATGGACTAAAGCTTCCTGACTTTCAGATCTGAAGATTGATGGCTCTTGTTATTTCTGAGTGACAGACAGAGTGGAGGTCATTAGAAGGGAGAGCCAGAATGCACAAGCATCATTTGCCTCATTCCACTGCAGCAACAAAGTAAAGCTTGTACGTCACTGTTGGCAATAGCAAGATGGAATACATGTCACACTATATTCAACAACCTCAACTGACCTATGGAGTTCCAGAATATCTTTCAAGGATCACGAAGATCAAAGGGAATTATTCTGTGACAGATCAGTAAAGATGCGTTTCAACTGAAGAACTGAGTGAAAACATCAGCCTTTTGACTATGGCCTGCTAATGCACTGAAGGTATCCCTTCAGTGGAACGGAGGGCGAGATGATCTCATGTCTGGGAGTTGGAAGCCAGTAACAGAACAAAACCTCTTAACCAAAAGGAAAAAAAAAAAGATAAATTTCTTCGTAAGATAAGCTGCTTATCGTATTATGTAAAGTAATACGAAGAGTACAAAGTCTAAAGTCTACAGTTGAAGACCTGAACATTTATTTTCGTTTTCCAGTCAGATGTAAGACACCACTTAACAAATACAGTATTTAAGAAAACTTCAGTTTTGCAAAGACTGTATTTTTACTAAGTCCAAAACTTAAACACTGGCATAATTTAGAGATTTTTTCAATCAAGACAACACAAATTCATTGTCTCAAAAGCCTGATGTAAGTAAGCCCAACTGTACCCATTTCACAGACTTTTTTTTTTTTTAAACAGAAAGCAGTAAGTGACTCATCCAAAGGTTTAAAACACCCTATATGTCAGTGCTGAAATCACACAGTAATTTTAAAATTTGCAGAACACTGCTCTATATGCAGACATTAAGTAGTTCTTCTCTTCTGTGTAACACTGGGTAAGTTGTGAGAAATAACTTAGGAGCAAACAAGCCCTATTTTTGGAAACCTTTCTTTAAAAACAAACCATGAGTTACAATCACTGAAACCAGCAGCAACAGAGCTGAGGTCCTGGACGTGAAACTTGTGCTTGACTCACAGGCCAACTGTATTTTATAACAGACCTTCTACAACCCAAGTCAATCTAATTCTTATTGTTGCAGATGTACAATGTCCAGTTCCGGAGCATCTTTTTGAGAAAGTGCCTGGTTTATCGTCACACTATTACTGCAAGAGCACTGGCTTGATGTTGACAGATGGGTAAGAAAATTGAAATGCTGTGAACCCAGGCTCACATTTGCAGTATTAGTCATATCTAACATGATAAAGGTGAGATATTCAATAGGGAAATGAGCACTGAGCTAGGTTCTACTGTTTCTTAAAAAATAATTAATAGATAATTGTTTGCTTAGCATTTCTGGAAAACCTACATGAAAGTGGTACACATTTTGATATTAGTGGAAACATCTTCAGAAATGTCTCTTTCACATCTAGCATTGTTTTCAATGGGTTATATTATGCAATACTTGATATATATAGCAACTTGCTGACTTCTACTTTGCTCAGACAGCTTAGTGTCTGCTTCTCTGTTGCCAGCTGAAATTACTTTCAAAATGAAATATGGAGATGTGAAATTAATACAGGCCTATACCAGAGATGATGGTAAAATTTATAAGCAAAAGAAATAAATTTTAAAAGCTTACAAATAGCTAATCATTGACTAAAAATGCTAGGAAGGGTATGAAATACTAAGAAACTTCTTTTCAACTTTTATCACAGGAGAAGATTATTTCTCTTTTTGCGTGTTATACCCTAGTTAACTTAAAATATCTGTGTTGCTTATTACCTATTACCTAGTAAGAGATGAATGTTTTGTCAGTGTCTAGTGTGACGTAAAACCAGCAAAACAGAATATAGTGATTGTTAGAGTGTGCCCAAAGACAGTGGATGACTTTCTCAAGCCTGCAGAAGCTACTGTTCCTTGGCAAATCCAGGCTAGACTCTAGAGAGAGCTAAGAGAAAACTTACCCAGGACACACATAGTAACTGTACTGTTTCGAGAGCTATACAGGCTTGTGTACAATGCATTAAATAAAGCTTTAGAAATACTGTAAGTCACTCCTTCCATTGACTTTGATTTCCTAAAGGTAAAATCCCAGTTAGATCTCAGCATCATCATAAAATCACTAGAAGGACCACAGTTATACACAATAGAAAATACTTATCTCATACTGAGATGTCTTAAGAGAAGGAAGGAAACAAATGAAGCTTTAGTCTTCCTGATTCTGTTAGCAGCCTCAAGAAACTCCGAAGAACTAATTCTAAGGCTCCTTCCAAGTTCAGCCTGGAGGAAACTGTGCATGGCTGTCACCAAATAAGAGCTAAGATAAACTTACGTTTAAAAATTATTTCAGCTTTTCAGATTCTAAGGGTTTTTATAAGCAACAGTGAAGAAAAACATTTTTAAAATCAGGAAAAATACCTGGACAAGCGTCCTTTTAAGGTGCCTGACGACTGGCTCATTCTCCAAAGATACTACAGTATCCAATATCGTGGGAACTACAAGGTGAGGAAGCTGTTGCTACTCCCAGGCACATCACACAAAAGGACCTGAGAACAACAGCCTGGGTCAGTGCAGCACCTTTGGTAGTTGCTGGAAGAGAGCTCCTCCTTCCCATGCTTGTTCCTCGATGGTACATCAACGTAAAACACACACAACTAACAACACCTCCTAAAGCAGAACAAAAACCTAAGTCTAGCAGTCTCCACAAGAGAATCAAAAATCCCTCTAAGTACCCAGCAGCCTCTGGGAGTAAAGAGGTAGAACTGGCACTGGCAAAGTCTACAGCAAGACTAACGACCGAGAGAGAAGCTAGTTAAAGGCAGGCTCTGAAGATGTCTTCTACATGGAAAGAAACGATCGAGCAATGTGGCTTGGTTTTCCCTACCAAGGGAAGAAAGTTCAGAGTCCGTGAGAAGCTGTACCCGGGAAATGATACTGGCTGAACGTTCAGCGCTCCTGCCTCCACCTTCTGGCAAGGAGAAACGCTGGTGCTGAAGACTGCTGCTACAAAGAGCGTTCACACGCTCTTTGCAACGGGTGTTTACAACTGGAATCCGTGACCAGCATGACCACGTTGTGGCGGCCATAAACAGCGCTCCACACCATTTCTAAAACAGGATAATCCGCCTCCCCAGATCTGACTCCTGCAGTTTATAACCCAGACAGTTGTTAAATGCCAGACAGTTACTTATCTCTTGTTACACAAAATGATAACAAATACACACACACAGCAAGAACTTGTATGTTAAACAAAATTAAAAGGTATATATTTTTCTATGCACACTAATTACCTGGTAAATGACATCTTGAAAAAGAACTGGAAAAGTGAGTGCAGCATCTTCTAATTCATTTAGACTACAGTGCACTAATGTTTCATCCTATTAAAAAAATAAAAGATGGTATAAAAGAAAGAAAAGATTGTGAAAAGAATGTTGAAAATAGAAGTTGTTTTCTGGATTTTTATGCTCATTTTAAAGTAGGTTTATTTAGCCTGGAAAATTTATTTTTGTGCAGGTGCTGTCAAGATTGAAGAACAATTCTTAGACTTAATTAAATTAAAAACAAAATTATACATTCTGTTATATTGCAGTTTTTGAAAAATTTCACTTGGAATTGTGCACTAGGGGCATAAATACCTTCTTATATTTTAATTTTGTAGGTTATCCTGTCACTCAGTACAAATCTGCATCTGTCAATTTGAATAATCTATCTATTCGTATGACCACTAGAGGACATGCCAACTTATATTGTCCGTGACAAAATAATGTTCCTGACATCATTAACAGGCTCTGAAACAACTTTCAAAACAGAGAGACTAAAAGAAATTATTATGAAGACAAATACATTTTCTACGAGTACTTTAAAAAGTGGATTTGTGCCCTCTAAGAATAAGAATGTTCCAAGAATTAAAAGATTCATTCTTGACCAATCCTGATGCAAGACACATGAAGCTGAATTTTCCTATTTATTACATCTCATTTTTTTCCACATTGGATTTAGGAAAGCTTTGTGGGGACAGATAACTCTCTGTTTGAGATGATAAAAATTTTCATACTTTTTTTTTTTTTAACAGGATGTTAAGTATTCAACAAATACAGCAAGGATTCTATTCTTGACACTATTTTTCTTTTAAACGCAGGCCATAACTAAAAATACTAAAAATTGTGTAGCATTCAACAAGGCCTTTTTGTTTAAAGCAAACATTACTAATTTCAGGAACAAACAAAATAAATGAAATGCTACATACCCCCTGATTTTGGTATGTGGTTATAAAGATACTTACCAAGTCTAGAACTAATGAGAATTCTGGTGTGCTTCTTGTTTTCAGTGGAAGAGCTGGCTTCCTGTTAAGTTGTTCTTCTGTTAGTGGTGGAACATGTTTGATGAAATAGTATCTGAAAAGAATACAGATTTTGCTCTAGGAATGTATATACATTATTTAACTGGTAACATTGTAGCCCAACTTAATATTTCAAATATTTAAAGCTGCACAAGAAATAAGTATTTTAAATTGAAACCCTCCCCATCGATATACACGTACTTTTTAAAGTTAAGAGCTTTTGGAATTTATTACTATAATACAAAAATGTTCCAACTTAAATGTCTTAATCCAATACCCAAAATTATCAATTTAATATTTTCAGTACGAACATTAGCACTTACGGATCAAAGACTTCCCAGTCTTCTTCATAGGTGGCTTCTGCATGAGCTGATGAGTAGCCACTGTCTGGAGATACTGGTGCTAAAATTCAACAAAAATGACCAAAACAAAAAACCACAAGAGCTAGTCTTATTAGTGCAGTTTAGAAGTGAAAATTTGCACTTGATACATGAGTGCCTCAAAAAATAGTGCAAAAAAAAAATCTCCCTTCAGCCCCATCCTCTCAGTCCCCATGTTCCACCCGGAATAGCCTGCACAGCTCCTCAGGAAGTGACCCGAGAGCTTGATCATAGAATGGTTTGGGTGGGAAGGGACCTTTCAAGGCCATCTAGTCCAGCCCCCCTGCAGCGAGCAAGGACATCTTCAACTCAATCAGGTTGCTCAGAGCCCCGTCCAGCCTGACCTGGGATGTGTCCAGGGATGGGGCATCCACCACCTCTCTGGGCAACCTGGGCCAATGCTTCACCACCCTCATGGTGAAAAACATCTTCCTTAAATCTAATCTAAATCTCCCCTTTTTTAGTTTAAAACCGTTACCCCTTGTCCTATCACAACAGGCCCTGCTGAAAAGTCTGTCCTCATCTTTCTTCTAAGCCCCCTTGCAGTACTGAAAGGTTGCCATGCCACGTCACCCTGCAGAACTTCATGACCTGGCCAAAATGGCAGTGCCTGTATGACACGGGAAGGCATCCATACAACCTCTGATGCTGCAAACTACCTAGATGCAACACTCCAGCCTAAGAAGCTAGCACGACTCTTCCAGTCTGCAGCTCACTCTCACCTCATGTCAAGAGGCCCTTCTGAAACAAGGCAACAGACCAGATCGGAAGGTCTGAATTGATCTGTGGAGCACACATCAGCCCCTCTACTTGAGAGGTTAAATCCTTGAATGGAGTCCTCAAAAACCTCACTACTACTTAACTGCCAATGTTTTGAGGGTCTAGGGAGGATTTAGATAACTGTTAGATGCTGGTCATCCACAAAGAGGAGAAGCTGCATTTTTTGTCAAAAAATATGTATGATGCACTTTTGGAAGAAAATGTGGAAAATTAGTGTAGGTTCTGTATGTTTCTCATTCACCTCACCAGGTTGTTCTAATGTAAGATATCAAAATACCTCAAATTTCTCTTTCATGATCAGCAAGTCTAAGGTGTGCATTTTTAATATGGGGAGGTGGTTCCATATTAATAAAAATGCCTTTCTTCTGGAATCCTTGATTTCATTTGAAGAAATGTTATGAGATCAACTGAGTTATACTGGGAATAAATAAGACTTGACAAAACTGTGGTTTTGGTGCATAAAACAGATTTGTCTATTAAACGTAAAAATCAGTATTAATACTGTTTGCACAAATGTGAAATATTAATTTATACAAAATGCAGGTGCTAGGATTTCCCTACGAGTACAAATTACATACCGCTTCAATACCCAAGTCCAAGGCAGGCACACATTTCTTACCTGTAAGTGGTGGCAGGTCACGGTCATTTGTTTCCTCCGTTTCTTCTAAACCATTGTTGACAGTAGATCTGACCTGCACTGCTTGGCTAGCATAAGCTGCTCCGTTGGTTGATGTCGCAGTACTTGTAGTAATCTCGTCTACCTGTTCCATATCAAGCTGTTTGACGATTTCTTCAGCTTCAACAGCCTGCCCTGGAGAATCGGATCCTGATGTTCCTGCATTAAGATTTCAGTACACTCATAGTCATTGTCTTTAAGCTGAGTTTCCTACCAGAATAGTCATTGTTAACCACACAAAAAAAAGTTTCAGAATAATTAAAGATAGCTGCATTTGATTCATGTTACAAAAATAAGAACCAAAATGAAGACCATGACAAATGCCTTTTATGTTTAGGACAAGGAACTTAACACCCATTTATTTTTATTAAAAAAAAAAAAAGGTACACTGCTAGATACTTACACCTATGAGAGAAATGTTCTAATGCATATAAACTTTTTCTTCTTTTACTATAACTTATATTATAACTTTATTATAAGAGTTAAGGAGCCCTTTATCTAGTAGTGTTAACTCTGGGTCTGGAAATCAGAATGAAAAGTGTACTGCTGCTCAAAACAGCTTTTTCTTAGAAGAAAAAAAATCTATCATTCTTAGCTTTAACACTATTGCCTTTTTAAATAGTACTCACCATTTTTATTTGCTGGTGAAAAAAAATTGAAAACAGGAGAAAATATGGTTCCCAGTAATGTAGTTCGTGGGGGACTGCCAGTGGCAGGATTATCTTCTAATTTGCCATTTTGCTTTACATGTTGGTTTGTCATTTCGTAACTTCCAGCTTCTGTAAAAGAAAAGTTATGAGGTATAATACCATGCTTCTGGTTTTCAGCCACCACCTCTCTTTCATTGTTATTGTTTTCACTATAGGAAAGATCCCTCTTGCTCATGATTCAATTCATCAACAAAAGAATTAGCCTAAATATTTCATTTCACAGAGTTAGCAATTTAGTATCAATATAAAAAAAATGCCAATTTTCAACACCATCTTAACACTTCAAATTATGAAGCAGTCATTGTTTATATAAAGTATGCTATAGATTAACAAATAATAGAAGTTTAAATCCTTTAAGTGGGCTTGATGATGGAAGACAGACTTGAAGATGCTGCGCATCTTTCACAACAAACAGATGTCAGTATCAGTGGGACTCCACTAGATGGAAACAAGAGAAAGCGTCAGCGGAACTCTGGTGGCTGAACCTCCAGCCTTCACAAGATAAATCTGTAATTTATTATTCTCCACATACCTACACACACATATATGCATAAATACAATTATGGAGTAAAATAACTTTAGTTGTTATCACAGATAGCAAAGGTCATAGAATTAAATAAAACTTCACATTACAAAACATAACACATTATAATAAAGTTTTCTATAAATGTGCATGTACATTAAAGTACATCCTATGCTATCTCATGGCTGTGATCCAAGACATCGTTCTGAGGCTGAAATGAAAGAGAAGTTATTTACTTCACAGTAACAAGTCTTTGAGTGTCTGTCCATATGGAACTAAGCAAATGCATTTTGTGCACATGAGCTGAGAACCTTTTTGTCAGCTGAGCCTGATGGAGCTGCACAAGTACTTCACACTTCCTATCATTTCTATATAAAATGTAGGGTGTGCTGGCTGCAACTCAGTGCCTTCATTAATACGGAATATTTTAACTAAGAACTTCGTATCACTGTAACAGTAACGTGGGCTCAGTGTGCCCTATGTACGTATCTCAGAACACACTTGATTTAAGTCAATAGTTTCATCTTTGAGCGTTGTCTGCATGCATCAGACTAAGTGGGTGCATATCCATTTTCTCTCCAGGAGGCAGAAAACCTTAATTAACAGTAGCAAATACTGGAAAAGGAGGTTTCTCCTACAGCCATGTTACACAGACATCTGACAACAACTGAACAGGAAATTCTCTCACACTGTAACCTTTCCATCACTGAAGTCACTCATTTGGAGCTCTATTCTCTACTTAGTTACCCATTTTGCAAACCTTGTTGGAGTATGAAATCTTTGAGACCTCTGCCTTGCTGACAAACTTGGCAGAAACCAGACAATGGATTCCCAAGTTATTGGGGGAATGGAGACTGAAGGAACACTGACAGGCAGCACAATCACACTAAGTCTTGTTCCCTTAAAAAACATTTGTTAGATGACTTTTCTGAAGTCAGACTTGGAACCACAGTTGATACTTTAACTGTCATTTACCATTTTATCATGTCATTATTAGCGATACTCAAAAAGAAACAATTTCCACAGGGAACAGGGTTGTGGAATGTCCATCCTTAGAGAGATTCAGAACTTGACTGGACAAGGCTCTGAGCAGCCTGATCTGACTCCAAAGCCAGATCTCACCTCAAGCTGGATCAATATTGCCGTGAGGGGAGCAGGGGGACTGGCTCAGATGACCTCAAATCCTGTGTTCGGTTTTGGGTCCCTCATGACAAGAAAGACATTGAGGTGTTGGAGTGTGTCCAGACAAAGGCAACGGAGCTGGGGAGGGGTCTGAAGAACAAGTCTGACGAGGAGTGGCTGAGGAAACAGGGGGTGTTCAGTCTGGAGAAGAGGAGGCTGAGGGGAGCCCTCATCGCTCTCTACAACTACCTGAAAGGGGGTTGTGGTGAGGTGGGGGTTGGTCTCTTCGCCCAAGTAACCAGTGATAGGAAGAGAAGAAATGGCCTCAAGTTGCACCAGGGGAGGTTTCGACTTGGTATTAGGAAAAATTTCTGTACTGCGAGAGTGGTCAAGCATTGGCACAGGCTGCCCAGGGGGGGGGGGGGGGCACCATCACTGAAGTGTTCAAAAAACGTGTGGACGTGGCACTTCAGGATATGGTTTAAGGGGCATGGTGGTGTTGGGTTGACAGTTGGACTTGATGATCTTAGGGGTCTTTTCCAACCTTAAAGATTCCATGATTTTATGGTCCCTTCCGAACTAAATTTTCCTATGATTCTATGACAGAATCCCATCTATGTGTTTGACAAGTGCTTTCAGTATCTAGGGACACCTGGTTACTTCCACAAAGGTCATGAGTTGGGAAGTCATATTTAACGTTTTTTGGTGAGAAAATGGGAGAAGAGCTGCATCAGATAATTATCACTGGCTTTTTAGAATAATTCTTTTTTTTAAGTTAAATTAGTTCCAAAATAGCTGGTTGTGATCACATATCCAAATTGTTCTTACAAAGACACAATGGATGTGTCTGAGACGTAATGTAGCTGTTGCTTACAGTCTTACAAATCCTATTTTGCTATTAGCCCAGCCTTGCTCTCACGGAACACAATCACAAAACCCTTAATAACCTCCACCACCAAAGAAATGTCTTGTATTAGTTAACAGCTGTGAGACTGCTGAACACCATTCAACTGCAACAACATACGATTAGAATATTTACAAACCTCCATTCATTTGACTTTTCCGTCGTACTCGAGAGATCTGTTTATTAGGCTTTTCTCCTGTTTGAGGTGTAGATGTAATCAAGTTGTTATCTATATCTCGTTCAATTCTACTTCTTTTTGCAGGATTTTCTCTTTCTTCCTTAAAATAGAAAAGGGAGAAAAAAAGAAACATACTGAATAATGCCTCTTTTCTCCACTGAATACTACCAGAAAATGTTAGCTGTTAGAGAAAGTTTCACAAAAGATCCATTTATTGTTCCACTTCCAGATGCAGAATATGCAACATGTATCTGGCCCCAGCTGTAATTTTATACTCATTGAAACTGCCACAACTCGAGGTAAATAGCAAAGTATCGGGAAAGAAAACTGTACTTGGAACTTCTGTAGTAGAAAAGCTGTCTTTAGGTACTATTTCACTGGATAGCCAATTTATAAATACTTAAGCGCTATGGAGTTTGGGAAATGCAGAGACAAGGCAATTAAAATTATGTGAAACTTGATTTCTCTGCCTGTTAAATATACAGGAAGTAAACTGCACAACAATACTCAGTATGAAATTCTCCACCATGCTCCCTCCATAAAGTGACTTGCTCAATTGTATACAAGTATGTAACTTGCTGCTATTCAATCCCTGTCAGATGGTGCACGGCAAAACTTAGCTGTTAAAAATACTGTAAGCAAGGGTTATGACCCAATGATTCTTCTTCCCTTTAAGTAAATCACTGTTCTTCCCTGTGGCACTTACATGAATGATACAGAAGCAAACATTTTTCCATATTTTCTGTGCATGGGTATATGTGTAGGCACACATGTTTAAGACAGGTTTCTTCCCCTTTTTCCCCAAAGCACCTACTACAACTTCATAAAAAGGCAATCTGAAATCTAAAGCATGACCATATAGAGTACACTGAAATGTAAGGTGTGAGACAATGCAAAATAAATTGAATTAACTATCAAAATAAATAGCAAGGCCACAGACCATATAAAAGTTAATTAAAATTTCAATTTTAGAATTACAATATTACCTTTGTGGAGCAGCAGTTTCACATCTTTAAAAAGAAAAGAGAAAAACAGTTTGCGTGCTCCAAAAAAAAAAGTAAATAGATCTTTTAGAAAAATTAATCTAAAGCCCATGCTAACAGTAGAGTAGCTAAAAGAAATAGTAACAAACATGGAAGCATACCAACATCCATATCAGAAGACAAACGCCACTGATCCCAAAAGCTTCCTATTGGCAATATCCTTGGCCAACAACCTTGGTGAGAACAATCTAATTACTACCACTTAGAATTAATAATATTGTATATACCATAAATCCATATAATGAGAGAAAATGGATGGCTCATTGAACTGATAAAGAGCAGTAAGGCATCCCATCTTCTAGGCCATTTGTTCACATGTTTAACATCGGGGGGAAAATTGAGAGAAATTAATTAACTTCCAAAAGCTAACCATTGGCCTTCATGAAATGAGCTGTGCTCTCATTCTGCTTTATGGAAAACAAGTGTAGAAACATTACAAACATTACAACGGGAACAGGAAATCTGGCCGATGGTATCAGCAGAGGAACTCTCATGATGTGGGGGGAAGCTCACACTGCTGCGCCCATATTGTACTACTTAACAGAATTCAAAGCTGACATTAGATACAATGTTATTGTGCTACTTGGTCTATTTTATTACTGAAAATTTTATTACACAGATTTAGAATTAAGTATACCTATTATATGTATTTATAGAACAATCTATTTGAATTCTATGATCTATTCAATTCAATATAACCTATTATTATCAATAATTGTGCCATAAGGAACATGGCAATGTCACACAGACATTTTGTTTGCTTTCAGGTTGTTTTCAGAAACCGTGTATGTATTAAGGAATGGCCTAAACTGAGACTAGAAGTAATGACAACACGTTCAAAGTCAATGCAATTTTTGACAGTGCTAGAACCCCCCAAATCCAGCAAGTTTAGCGGAACTTGCAACAGCAAGTTCTACAGTATTTCCGATGTTAACATTTAAAAAATTTAACAGCACTTCTTGTACGCGTATCTGTACATCAGATTTGTCATTTTCTAAATGACAAATACTGTTGTGACCTCCATACTATTGCTGCCCTGCATGGGGGCTGTCAGCTAGCAAAAACCTCAAGGTCAGACCTACCACCATCCAAATCTGAAGAGCCACATTTTAGTCTTGTTTCTGTAACTAAATAGCTATAAGGGTTTTTTCAGGTTTTGTTTAAGGAATATTCCTAATAAGACATCTTTACAATACCAGATAAATTGGTATTATTTACCAATTATTTACCACAATGACTATGGTAAGTGACTATGACTGAAAGTGTCAAGATACAGTTATGAAGACATTTATTGCCGTAAATCCATATGACCTCAGCGGTGATTTAGATTTTAGCATACCCATAAACGAACCACTATGCAAGTTGTACACATACACTATCTCAAAGAGTTAGAACGTTTCCATGGCAGCCACAAGACTACTTTGTTAAGTCATTAGCGCTTTGGAAGATAGCCCGGCAGTATCAATATCATGCCATGCTAATGCCACTGGAACCACTCCAAGTCCTGCTACAGGCACAGGAGAGGACATGAAAGGAAACAGGAGAAAAATATGGACATTTTATAATAAAAAACCTGTCAAGAAAAAAAAGAATGAAAGGTAATCCGAAGATTTGGGAGAGGGAAAGGAAGAGGGAGAGAAAGTTAACAAAACCTTAAAGAGACAAAGGAAAGGAAAATCAGACATATTTCCCTTATCTTAAAATTTCAATGTAAAATGTTTTGCCTAGATTTCAGCATTTTGTTGCTGTGGTTTTGCAGCCAAAATGTTGCATTACTGAGCTACAATATAGATGCTGAATGTAAAATAGATTAATTGTCCTGGTTTAATTAAAAACAAAATGTAAGCAGATTTAACCATTTTTTTAACTGAAATATTTCTTTGTCGGTACTTCAGTGTTTCTATGATAGATAATTAACACATGCCATGAAATATTAAATTTCACTATATTCTTGACAATTTACGACTATATTGTTACTTTAATTAAAATTATTTCAACTTCAGCTTGTTACAAAATTATAGTTTCAAAACTGAGTTCAAAACCCAGAAAATACTTCTGAATTTTTATTGTATTTTTATTTATCATATAAATAGCCTGGGATATATTTCAATTTAGTTATGACTTCTTGGCTACTCTTCTTTAAAATTTATAGCTACATAAGGTCAATATCTGGACTGCTGGGACTAAAGGAATTAATTTTTTTTTTTTTTAAACTGGTGTCCCTTTACAGAAAAAAAAGTTTTTGAAGCGACCGCAAGGCGACATTCAGCTTACCAAAGTAATATACAGATATAAAATTCACCCTCAAAACACACATGCAGCAGGTTTTAACATGTGAAGATTAGTAAAGTTCAGATTTCTGTCTGGATCAAGAGAGATGAGATTTAGTGGTTTAGCCCTGACAATGTTTGAATTTGACCTACTAAGCGGGGGCAGTGTTCACTGCAACAATACACTGAGAAGTCGTATCAATTTCACGGTAGTTGAGGTTTGACCTTTATTGATTGATGGACATCTAAATAATTTTGAATAAAAACGCTAAAAATCTTTGGCAAATTTATGTTTACAGACTTGTGTTTCTTAGTTGCCAGTACTGGTAATTCCCAAATTCAAGGAATCCTTAAAACAGAAATTAAAAATCTAGTGAATTTATTAGTCAACATTTTCACAAAGAAACACCTAGGTAATAAATCCTGTGATTTACTGGATTGTCTTACATACGCCTACAATTGACTGCTGTGGAGTTGAAAGTCTGGTTTTTTTTCTTTTTTAAATCTGTTACCTGACACAACTATCACAGGTACTTCTTGCCTTCCAGTTCTTTACAAGAATGTTTTGGTTCCACCACATTACAAATCTTTATTCATTCTTATTAGAAATGGTTTTAAATCAAATTTAACTGAATATGACCCAATTAAAAAACAACAGAAGAAACCCACTGATTGTGTACCTTGGGTGTGCTTCCTTTAATAAACTTTTTGATTGAAGACAACAAGCCAGTTTCATTTTTCTGTGGTTTTCCTCCACCAACAGGTAAGCTGTCTTCCACCTCTGAATGTTTCCTCTTTGCCCTCAAAGCACGTTGTGTGTGAATTTGATTCGATTGCTGAGAAGCTTTCCGCGTTCTCAGCCTCATTTTCATGTGTACCACATGTAAAGCTATAAAAGGAAAAAACAAGACTTAGTCATTGAAGAAATGTATTAAGCTTCAGATCATGAATTCAAAAAATTATATAACACTGACAGTGTTCTGATGCGCTGAGCTTTTACATCCATATATATGGCTTAATTTAAATCAAAGAGAAGAGTTATTTAAGTTAAAGCATAACACTGGCAGAAGAACAAATGAATATAATCTGGCCATGGATATATCTAACCATTAGATCAATGAGGTTTTTGCATAACCTTCCAATACGAGTAGTAGGAACAAAAAATCTACCTGCTTTTAAGATGAAAAGGATTGTATGGTGCCTGGTGTCTTCGGCATCAAATGACTAGACTCAATGACCTAGGCAGTTCTTTCCAGCTCTGGTGTTCCTCACAATACGTCATTTTAAGTCTCTACATTAAATTTGAGATGACGCATAAATCTAAATTCGTGTCAGGCATTCACAGAAGAAGAAATCGTAAATGAGACAATGCATTCAAGACAGGTGAGGATATAGCAGCTCAACAAAGGAACCTAAGATTGATCTTCAATACAACCGTATTTGGGAATAAGATTAGACCACAGGAAGACTCATGCAAGGGCAGTATTTATTAAAGCAGAGTAAAAGGTCATTCCAGGGAATGTGTCCCATTTATCTCCAACCTTCAACTGGACTGCTGGTATAGTCAAATTTGTGCATAAATGTAACTGCTCTTCTGGACTGAGGGATATGCCTTCTTCAGTTGACTGAAGCTCATACTTGGGATTGATTTGAATGGGACTACTCATGTGCTTAAAATTATGCATATACTGGATCAGGAACAGACAAAAGAAGTAGCAAGAAAGCCATTTGAGTTGTAATGCACAGAAATACTGGTAAGAGAGCAATATGCATTTCCCAGCTGAAGTCATGACAAAAAGCGTGGTTTTTCAAAGAAAAGCATGTGCTTATCACGATAGGAATCAGTATCTGCTTTTCTGAAGTTCATTTAGCATGTATCATTGCTGGATAGGCAGAATAAATAATCTATAACATTTAAAATATAAATAATGTCACAACAGCTATCTTGTTCAGGAAAAGGCAACGGTGACACTGGTATGATTCCCAGACATAGAAATACTGTGATAATATTTTTCAAAAACAGTCCAAAAACTGTACACAGTTGCATTTGTTTGCAGTTAGATAAATCTCAAACGCAAGGTGTTCTGGCTAATGAAGAATAACTAGCTACTGACACTATTTTTAGAGACTTAGCAAAAAAAGTACTCAATTGGCATTGTCAAGAGAGAACTATTTTAGTTACATATAACATTTGTTTTAACTGCCAGGAAACGTGTGATTTCATTTTTCATACATACATGTCCAGCATTTTCCATGAGCGGTTAATACAACAACTATTTACAGATGGTAAAAGGACAAGTCAAGATTCTTAAATGACTGAAGTTTAAAAGAACCTACTGTATGTGTAAAATAGTAATGCAGAGAAATAATAAAAAAAATCTTAAAATCCCAAAACTTTTTAATCCAATTTTCTGTTCCTACTCCTTGCCACTAGAAAAATAAAAAGATAAAAATAACATTCCTATACCAAGATGTAAAATAAATATGCCTGTTATTAGAACTTGCATCTCGACTTTTTTTTCTTACAAATTGCTATCAGATTAATTTTTTGGGTATAATTTATAGTGGGAAGGATCCACAACAATAGACATATGCTCCTATTGTACTTCTGTACAAATCAGGAGGACCTAATTATAAAACTGAAGAAGTTATCAAACATCAATGGACAGGATGGTCCAAAGATACCTTAAAACCTGTAATGTATTTTCACTTCAGAAATATTGAGGAAAGCACTGGTTTTTATCAACATTGTGTGGATTTAATAATGTATTTTAAGTTAGGATAACTTACCAAAATCATATTATCCTAGGTGGCTGAAAAAAGAACAATGACATTTAAGGTTTCTCGGTGTTCTTTTATGTGGGAGAAGAACTAATTCACAACCCTAGCAGGAAATACAGTCTAGAAACAGAAAATGGCCATTTAAATTTTAAACCAAATAGCTTAAATATATCAATGTTTCAAGTTAAACAGTTAGCAATTTGTTGGAATAAAGTTAGAGAAAAACAACACTGTTTTGCCATGTTAAAAACATTCTCAAAGCTCTCCAAGGAGCTGTAGTCTTTCCATGCTTTGAAAATGGGAATTTTATCAGCAGTATTATCAACCTGCTTAGAAATTAATTTGGTTGAATTACAACTCTCTGAAATTCTTCAATCTGTGTATTGCAAGAAGACACATATTAGATCACAGACAGTAATCTCTAGGACAGGGAAGTGAGCAGAGGAGTCATGAACACTTCAACCACGCCAGCTTCAATGGGGTTCCAGTGGGTATCAAGAGCCCCAGCACGCTAGGCTCCGGCACGTCTCTGGCACGCCAGCCAGCCCTGTGCCACCCACAGCAGCTAACCACTCGGTTTTGTATTCCACAGGTTGAATGGATTTCTGTTTGCAATCCTTCCTGCCAGGAAGCCCTGGAAGCCAGGCACAGGAACAGAGCAACGAGGCAGCCTATACCCGTGATGGTCCCTTGGGTACGGGAAACTTTAAGTTGGGAAGTTGAGGAGAAGTGGTAAAAGGGGAATAAAATCAGAAAGGTATAGGAAAAAAGGTAAAAGAATATGTAATCATCAGAGCAAACTTTTTAAAGGTACTTTAAAATATGGTAGGAGACATCAGGGAACCTAGTGACTTGCTCCTGCTTCCTCCTTTCTTCCCCACTCATTTCAGAGTTTGTCTCCTCCTCAGAGACCACGTTAGCTCACTGAGCTAAGAGGAAAAAAAAAATTCCTTCATTTTCATGCCAGTTAAATCAGTTTATAAAGGGAATCAATGGGCATCCGAATAATGCAACAGAGCAGGTGCTGGAGAATAATACACAGCACACCTCGTGAGTGATGTAGGAAGGAAAGGGTATATTACACAGAACTAAAATAGTCAGGACTCCCTGAAACATATAGGTTGACTATATAAACATACACACAAGTGAGATTCTTAATTCTCATTTACCTAGTTCGAAAAACTCTGAAAGGTAAGAAGAGAGTTACTACACTGAACTAATTCAAATTTTTGATTGACAATGGATAACCATTTACCATGGGGAATTAGGAATTAAGTAAATGACCTAAAATATAATGGGATTTTGTATATTCGAAGATGTAAACTACATTCATTAAAATGTTACTTACTCATTTTGAAAAACTGGGAAACATCCTGCAATGTGACTTTAAGTCTTTTAAAATGTTCTGGTGGGAAATCTAAGATGACTGCAATTTCCTGGGTAGGAATTAAACAAGACTGTACTAAAACCAAATGTGTATAAAAAGGAATTAGACAAAAATTGTAAACCATTGAAAGAAGACTGACACTAGTGAAATTCCAATTTGAGAATGAAAACATTGCTTAAAATTTGCTATGCTACAAGTTGCCTGATTTTTCTAGAATCGAAACAAATATTAGGCAGACAAAAGATGAGCCAATTTAATGTTTGACAATGGCGGGTATACATTTATCCAGCAAGGAACCATTCAACTCATCTGTACACTATTGCCAGAGAGTTATTTGGCTCGTTTCACATCCTGGGTATCAAGGCTGGGGTTATAAATATCTCTAATGGACTTAGCAACAGTTACCTACAATCCTCTCAGTGACAGAAGTTTGCTTTCCTAATGCTTGATACATTTGGCAGCGAACAGTTTTCACTTGAATTATATTAGTATTTCTTTTTTGAAACAAGCATAAACCAGACTACAATACTTAACACACTCTCTCAGTCAAAATAATCAAGTCTAAACACGTACATGAATTTCCTTCCTCAAACACGTACAATTTGGATTTCACCACAGCGCGCCGGCCGGCGACGAGCCTGACTAAATGACGGTGTAACCAAGTACCTCACTTGGCCACGCTCAGCCACGACCTCAGTCGCGCCAGGGAGGTGCGCTAAGACCGAAGCGAACAGTCGTACAGTCGGCTGCATGTGGGATTACGCTACACAGTCCTAAGCAATTTTTGTACTTTAATTCTCTTTTCAGCAGATTCTCTTTCAGGAGCTTGCAGCTCAAAATCCTCTCTCTGTGCAATAGTGTAATTCCTTCTCATCATGAAAAGCTGATACTGAAGTACTGCAACATCATGGACCCAAAGTCAACTAAATACATTAACAGCAAATGTACTGAACATTTAAAGACTCGGGACAAGTTTCTGCACTATACGTATGTCATATTTTAAACTCTCAAAAATCCCTTCTTCCTTGAATTCCTTCTACATCTATAATAAACCGGGGAGGGTAGAGGAAAAACCTCATTCTTCAAAAGAGAAATACACGGCAAAGAGAGACTAAATGGAATTCTCATTAAACAATTTGAGAGACAGGAAAATAAGAAATGAAGGAGCTACTAAAAAGCAGCAGCTGAAAAAGCTACAGCTGCAATGAATTCCCCATTTTCCTGAGTCCCCGCACACTAAGCTGTCAGGCTCACTACCCTGTAAATACTGTTGTTATTCCATGGCACAGGTAGGGTGTACCTACAGGAAAGAAATTCCTGTGAATGACTCATATTTCTAAATAAGTGCATACCTCCATGAAATTTTCAGTTAGGGATGATTTGTTTTCCCACCACATACTGTTTTATCTGTTTTTCCCAAAACTATTAAAAGAAAAATTAGGTGAGGCACATATAATTACAGGGTCTAAGGCTTTTTGATGCAGGAAAAAGTTTAAGATGGTAAAAAGAACAATAGTGATGAACAATAGGAAGAGATAACTGACAAGAAAATTTTAAATTATAGTGTTGACCAACTTCTACGTTTAATTTGGCACTCAGTAATAACACTGCATTGCCACCACTGAAGACTACATATTCCAAGCCCGAACCCGACAAGAGCTCTAGAGGATTAAGACAACTGAACGCACTTCGGCATGCGTTAACTTGGTGAGCAACA